GGCGGCACGCGTCCAAACAGAGCAATACGGCGCATGATGCATATTTCAGATTCAGCTCGGTACCCATTACACCTGCAAATGGATTTCACACACCGCTGGATGTCCAGCAGCACCATGAGGAGGACACTGTTCTCATTTTTAAGAGAAATATTCCTCCACTCACTCTTTGCCCCCAAACTGCAGCTGTAACAGTGCACCCCTACCTACCTCATCATGGGCTCCAAAGGCTAAGCCAAGGAAGAATTGAAAAAGAGCAAAGATGCTGGGCTGGTGTGGCTCAGTGGTTGAGCATTGACCTAGGATCCAGGAGATTGGGGTTCGATTCCTGGTCAGGGCCATGCCTGGGTTGCGGGCTCCATCCCCAGTCCGGGGTGTGCAGGAGGCAGCCGATCAATGACACTCTCATCATTGATATTTCTATCTCTCATTCCCTCTCCCTTCTTCTCTCTCTAAAATCAATTAAAAAAACATTATTTAAAAAAAAGCAAAGAACCCAGCTATTGCCCAATGAGTTCTTTAATGAGTTTCAAAAATGAGTCCACTTTATCTAAAATAATGCTATCACTGTTTTTTACTTAACGCTGTTCTAATGTAAAGTTATTTCACATACATCTATTGAAAGTGTTAGAACACCACTAAACAGTCTTCTAAACCATTTCTCTCTTTTTTATTCTATTCCCAATGCATTTTAGGCTGCATGGCAAAATAAACATTTCATAATCTTTTTCAGCTACTTTTTTTTCCCTACTAATGTCACTGCAACCAGTGGGAGGTCTGTATTTTCCACACTGCAGCTCCACATCTCAAATTATTTCTGATATAGATTAGCTGTCCCTTAGTGAGTGATGAAAGACAAAATCCCAGCCTCTTTAAGCCAGTCTCCTCTGACAGCATGCACATATTTACATGAAATAAAAAGCAAATGTTTGTTCTTTTCACACAAGCTGTCAACTCAAACTCGGGTTGTTTAGAGACCTGTTCAGACAAACAGAATTGGGACTGATTACATGATATATGATAAAAAATCAATGATAGGTAAAAATCAAAGATTATTTATAAGGAAGTAAAGAGCCTGGCCAGTGTGGCTCAGTTGGTTGAGTGCCCTCCCAGGCACCAAGAGGTCTGGGTTCGAACCCCCTCCCTCCATGGGGGCACATGCCCAGGTTGTGGGCTCAATCCCCAGTAGGGGGCGTGCAGGNTGCCCAGGTTGTGGGCTCAATCCCCAGTAGGGGGCGTGCAGGAGGGGGCCAGTTGATGTTTCTCTCTCATCGATGTTTCTCTCTCATCGATGTTTCTCTCTCTCTCCCTTCCTCTCTAAAAAGAATCAATAAAGACATATTTTTTAAAAATTTACTTAAAAAAGTAAAGAGTAGACATGCAACTACATAGCACACTGACAATTAAAACCTCATTGTTTATTCATTTGACTGCTTGGTTAAGAAACCCTGGGCTTAATTTTAGTTGCTTGCTTGTCAGAGTATTAACTTCTGCTCCACGGCAGGGAGAGGTATAAGACAATGTTTGTTACCCTAAAAAGTTTCCAATTAAAGTTGATTTTCAGCTTTTTTCTCTCCAGGGAACTTTCTAATAGCTAATAGGAAATATTCTGGAGTCAGGCAAGCTGAGCATTCCTGATGTCACTGTCACCTAATCAGGGCCACTGGGCCACCATCTCCAGTTGCCCAGCACACTGCCGCTCCTGCTTAGGCAGAGGGCTGCTCCTGAGTGCGCGGCCTGGGGACCGGTCACGCTTCCAGGGGCAGATTCCCGTCACCACAGCCCCCAGGCCCTGCTCTGCCTCGGCTCCCCTGGGAAACGCCTCAATCCTGCGGGTGAATTTTGCCTGCCCTGGGCCCACTCTGTCACAAGCACAAGGACTGAGCTTGTCCTGCCTCCCGTGGACAGCACCCATCTGCTGAACACACATTTTAATAAGTAAACTCTATTTCCAGGCAAACACCTATTGGTCTTAACAAGAAAAGAGCATCTCTACAAGATTCTCTGGAAAGAAATCCTGTCAGTGCCACTCACTCTACCTGCAAAGACAAGGCCTGTAATTACTTTCCCTTCTTCATTTCCTCGCCTGGACAAGGCAACGGGAGCAGGAGAACCTAGCATTTTCCCCAGGTACCCTCCAGAAGGTGCGTCGGCCTCTCGGGCTGGCATCAGAAAATTTCATTATCTGTATTTGTATCAGTGGCTCGCTGCACAAAGAGAACCGGGGGCAGAGGAGAGCAGGCAGGGCCGCAAACAGCAGCCGGCCGATTGTATATATGCAAATGCTTGCAGATTCCTGCCCGCCTCCCGTCTACAGCCCGCAACCGAAGCCTGGCCAGCCCTCCGCTTCCAGGCTGCCAGGCATGTTGTGGTTTTGAAGGAAAATATTCAGAAAACGCCGAACTTTCAGCCACTGGGACTGAATCTAACTCAAAGCCTACTACTACAGGAAAGGCGAATGCATAAATATAAGCATTGGTTTCTCTAGGAAGACAGGAGCTGTGCAGAGGGTGAAAACAAGATGCCCTGGGAGGGGGA